ACCATCCTCACGAATCTCGATGGTAATTTTTTTTCATTGCCCTACTAGAGGAACCAACTTCAGTATGAGAAGTTGTGACAGTAGGAACAGTTGAGGGAGTCAAAATAGCCACGGGCGGAGTAGTGGTAGTAAAAACAAGTGCGGGGAGCTGAGGATCGATTGGAACAGACACAGGAAAAGAAGCAAGAGGCGTTTCTTTAGAAACAAAACCAAAGTTTTCATCAAACCCACGTGAAAAGATCTGTTTAGTAGAACTAAGGAAGCAACAGGCATCTCATCATCAGAACTCACTAAGGCGACATCTTCAGGTTCGTGCATGGGAACAAAACTGGGAGGAGGAGTAGTTTCATCATCTGAAACGATACGTCTCCTGGCTCGAGGCTTACGAACCACGAGCCTTCATCCCTCACCTCTTCACTCTCAGAACTGGATGCTCTATCAGCTTTTCTTTTTGATGAGGAACTCAAGATTATCTCTTGAGCCATTGACATAGAGTCTCGAAGAAGAAATTAATGCGGCACTCACACCCCGAATGGGAAACACTAATAAAGAAAAGGGTTAATAAGTGCTCAAATAAGTACAAAAGCAAGGTCGAAAGTGGAAGAGAAACATACTGTGAGTCTTCACTTTAATTTCCATCCAAACCTGTTAGAAAGGTATTTCCAGGACCTTTCTTCCATTTGGAGAAACTGTTAACAAATTTTCTACCCAACCACGGAAATCAGGAATTTTTTCAACAGTTCCCATGGTTGCTAAAAAGAAAAGTAAAACAGTTATGAGAGTACAAGTCCTTCACAGAAAAAAAAGAGAAATAAAAGATTGGAAGAAAAACTTACGTGTAAAGTTCCACTTCTCAGGGATGAGCATGTTTACTTCACCTACTAACCCACTTGTAGGAGCAGCAACAAATCGGGCGTACCAGCCACGATCTTTGTCGTCTTTAGGGCTAACCAAAACCCTCTAACTCCTAGTCCCAAGAGTAAACAACCCAGAACGAAATAACTTGGGGGACTAAAGATGAATCAGATGATAAAAGGTGAAGGGTAAAGCAACCAAGTTTGACAAGTATCTAATACATGCCACGACCCTCCATAAAATAGGACCATTCTATCCTAAGCAAACATTGAAGAAACGACAAAACTCTATAATGACTGGGTCAATGGGAGGTCTAAAACCTAACGTAAAGGGATATGTATACACAAAAGAATAGCCAACTTTGAACGAGGTGATTCTTTGATTTGCATTAGGAACTAAAATTAGGAAATCAAATTTCCAATTACAGTCTCTACGCACAATGGAAATCAAACCCTCAGTAATCTGGGAAGGGTAAACATTAACACGATCATGAGAAGTCATAGAAGTGACTTGATTCCTAATCAATTCTCTATTAGTAAAGACTGACAGTTCAGCGGGAATGATCTCATCAACAATGGGTTCAGGAAGTGGTTCACTAGAATCCCTACTTCTAACAGAAGATCTATGTGAAGAGGAAGCCCTAGTTGTAAAAGACGACGGAAGAGTGATACTAGGATGAGAAGAAGAACTACGGATAGAAGTAGACCCTAAAATGCGTAACCTGCCACCTCTTCTACTTCTTGTTGGATCAGAGGAAGGAGGAAGATCATCCACCATAACAATTTTACGAGGATCAGGATTTGAAGAAGACATCGTTGTATGAAGAAATAGAACGTATTGAAGAGCAAGAATAAGTTGTCAATAAAGAACACTGAAGAACGTTTTTCATGAAAGCAAAGGCAAAGGATGTATTTATATGCAAAAGCAGATGTCATGTGAAAAAGGTAATGATGGAAACGTCATTATGAAAACTGTCACTTCGTGATTAATGCAGCCGCAAAAAAGCACTAAAACTCATTGAAAAGTTGCAGAGCCAATCGATGACTGCCACGTGTCACATGCATTAAACGGAAGTGACATACAACATATTGGTTCAGAAAAATATGCAATGGTACATGGTAAATAGCGGCAGAAATTCCCGCCATAAATACATACCACTTCCCAAATATTCAATTGCAGAATATTCGGCAAGTGAGGGGACATCTGTATTGGTAAAAATAAATATTACACGTGGATTTATGTGAATGGGTGATAAGACAAGACACGTGGATCATTGAGAAAGCGACAGCTAGAGAAATGCATTAAAAGAGGCACGTGACGTAACAGATACAAGCAAATCACCCACGAGAGGAGAAGATATAGTCGTTCAAGTTTAAAGAGATACATGAAGACGTACTGGAGGCATGAATCAAGACAATAAAAAGGAAAGATTCGTGAACCAGCCATTAATGAGCGTGAATGATCTCAAACATTACCGAATCTTCATGAACATTTACGATTACCAATTATAACGTCTCATTAATGTCATTAATGCTCATAATGATTCGGTCATAAAAGGGGAAAGACGTTATACTCATAGATTCATATAAAAAGGAAAGAGAAATCATTTGTACAGACACGTTCTGCTTATTATTACAACACAATTACTTTCTTTTGCTTTCTATTGATTACTTTGCTATTACATATTCTAGTTTCATTTATTATTGCGAGAATATTGATTTTCTTGATTATCAGTAACCCGAGTACTTCTGAAAAATAGGCTTTGGCCGAAATTCTTATTTTTTGGATAAACAAATCAGATCGAGATCGAGCCTTAAAAATGCAAACACTCTTTGTACATAGTGTTTCCTCCTTTAATGAATCTTATGCAATACGTATTTGAATCCGCGTTCGCGAGGGGCTGGTCTTCATCGTGTTTGCGCAAGGGTGCGCGCGTTTGTGTAGTGGTCTGGACTGAGCTGCGCAGAGGTTGTTTCTTCTTCGCGTTCGCATGGGTAGTTACGCGATCGCGTAGGGTATATGGAGAAGCACTTCTGCAAATGCCCATCTGCGCGCCCAAACTCCGCACCTGCGGCCCTTCCCCCAGCTGGCCTTTTTTCGCTTCTGCGACGACCTCCATCGCGCCTGCGTGTCTGTACCTGCTATCAAATGACAAAAATAACGATAGATTCATGTGATATAGCAAAATTCGAGTTAGAATCATTTACCCCGATGATTTTCTTATACCGAGAGAGTCTATCGGTACTGTAAAAAGAAAGATTACATTTCGATATTTAAAAACAATTACAACTTTAAAGTTCTTATTTTATTATAATGTTTAAAACCTATTTTAAACCATAAATTTTAAAAGTCTTCGTTTCTTGTACACCAACTAATTTTTCGAATTATTTTTATTCTAATAGCTACATACATTATCTGCCCAACCTATGACCTTATTTAAATTTTTCACTAAAATGATGCATATTTTAATGAAAGCGATAAACAAAGTTTTAAAGTAGATAATTACAAGTGAAAACTGATCTCATTGAAATTTGGTCTTTCGGAAAGTAAATGCTACCTTCAGTCCAAAATAAGTGATTTTTTCAGATTTCAAAAATGAATGAATTTTTTTTTCTACATTGTACTTGGAGTAAATAATGTTAGAGTATGTGTTAGGAGTGTTTATGTGAAGAGATAGTAAATGTTAATATGGTCAATTTCATTGCTAATTAATGTTAAAATGTGGATTTCTTAATCTGTGCGAAAATAGCTAAAAAATTACTTATTTTGGACCGGATGGAGTATAACATAAAGAGTAAAATGTTGAAAACATACAAGAAGAAACATAACACCTTCCTATGCCCTGTTAGACGTTAAAAAAAAAAGGCATTTCGATGCACGAAATATCTTGTGTTAACGTATGATTCGAGAAAAAAGCACACCCCATTAATAAAAAAAAATGAAATTAATTAACAAAAGAACTGTTTTCTTTTGTTTTTCTCATTAAATGATCCAGGTGGAATCAGCCGACGGAAAAGACAAAATTCAGGATATTTCGAGACCAATAGTATGACACAGGTAGCTACAAGTTTTCAAATACTCATAAATATTACTCCTTCTACCAATTTTAAATACTCAATTATGAAACTACTTATTAAATGACACGTAGGAGTTAGGGGCTCATGCATGAATTGAGTTATTTCAAATACTCATAAATATTACTCCTTCTACCAATTTCAAATACTCAATTTTGGTTATATTAATTAGAGGAACAAATTGAGTTATTAAAGATTATTATGATCTTTTTCATAGTTTTGGTCGTTCATCTTTCACTCTAATTGCAATATCATATATATATATATATATATATATATATATATATATATATATATATATATTAAAGAAGGTGTGTTTTCTTTTTTAGTAGTATTAAATTAAAGCAATTTTATCATGTTGAATGTGACTGCGATAATGGTTATTATGCAATAGGACAAATTCAATAAACTTGTGCAAACCCTCGAAATCCGCGTAGACCCGCAACCGCACCTCACCGCATCAATCTTTTAAAAAATTATTTGGACCTGTCCTGTCCTGCATAGCTTTAAACCCACACCGCCCTGCACCCGTACCGCCCCATTTGTCATCCCTAAGTTCGTTTTGTCTGGTGTTTTATATATCTCAATTCCAACGTTCAAACAGTCAAATGTTTAACAGTTTAATCAGTATTACTAAGGAAATCAAGCTATATTTAATCTCAAATCTTTCTCATATATTGTGATGCAAAGATGATCAATATTTTCAGAAAATAAAAAATAAGAAAGCTGCTGAGTAAGTTTTTTCTTCCAAAAATTAGTGGCTGACAAAATACTTACACGCTTATGATGTTTAATTACAATAAAACATCCATTCAACTATAAGAGTCATAAAATAAAGTGAGAATATGATTAAATGATTAATTAGAATTAATATATATTGTTTGATGTAAACTGCTGAATGATTAAAAGAATCTAATTAATCTCGCAACTAAAACCTGTCTCCCACGACATATCTATTGCTTTTAAAATCATAATAATAATTTTAATTCCACATACTCTAAACCCTTTTAAGGTTTAGGTATGCAATAATATATATTTCCAATCATCTAAGAAAAAGGGAAGCTCTCAGTTATGAATAGTTCTCCATGTTCTGAGTTTTCATTTGATAGTAATTGGCCACCATTGTTCCTCAACACTCACGATGTTGAGGAACAAAAAATGATTTCTTCGGAGAAATCAGCATCCTCCAAAGAAATCAAGAGTGAAAAAGTTCAAGAACTTCCCAATAAAGAGGAAAATCACTACATTGGAGTTCGAAAACGGCCATGGGGAAAATTTGCAGCTGAAATTAGGGATTCGTCTAGAAATGGAATTAGGGTTTGGCTTGGAACTTTTGATACCGCTGAAGAAGCTGCTTTGGCTTATGACCAAGCTGCCCTCTCGATACGCGGTCCTTCCACGTGCCTTAATTTTCCTGTGGAAAGGGTTCAAGAATCGTTACGAGGATTCAAGTGTAGTGGCAAAGAGGGTTCATCTCAAGTTGAAGCTATAAAGGAGAAACACAAGAAGAGACATACTAAAGGTAAAAGAAAACAAACTAAGGAAGAAAATGTTCTTGTTTTTGAAGACTTAGGATCAGATCTATTAGATGAGCTCTTATCTGAGTGTTCTACTTCTCAATAAAGTTCAAATCTCTTCTCTTTTTTTCTCTATTTCTTTTTCTTCTTGATAATCCTATACTTCTACAGTTATCTTGTTTCCCATCTTCTTTTTCTATTCAATTTTTTTATACAAGATCCTCATTCATCTCTACCTTACCTTGAGCTTAGGGCAGGAGCGGATCTAGACTACTGATACCGGGTTCATCTGAACTCAATTCTTTCGAAAACAGTTTCTCTACCTTCTCAAGGTAACTGTAAGGTTTGCGTACTCACTACTCTTCCCAGATCCCGCTTGTGGTATTACACGGGATTTGTTATTGTTGTTGTATCCCTATTCATCTCTTCTTTGAAACCCTAATATCTACAAGCCAGTGAGATTTCCCACTTCCAATTAGTGTATCCATTTCTTTTGCAACCTTCTACTTTAATTTCTGTCTCTTTTCTTTCAAAAAATACATGGATATTACATCGAAATAAAAGCCTTAACACCTTTTTATTCTCATTCCTAGCTATACTATTTAAGCAATTATGCTGTCAGCTTTATTAACATGTGACATTAGTAAAATTTAATGTTACAATTCATGATTCTTTGTGAGTATGCTTTGTTTCATTACCTTATAGCTTCATGGCGGTTTTATTTTTACTTCCTGTTTTTATATTATTCACATATATAATTCGAGTTCTTACAGTGTATATATGTTGCTGAAGAAGATGAAATAATTAAGTCTCAATGAGAAAATTCGAAACTTTTAACATAGTATTGTTTAAAATGTGATAATTGGCTGGCTTTACAAGATATGGCTTTGTAAGATATTTTCAGAGTTAAAATATATAGAAGCATTCTACAATCACTTGCTATTACTGTAGGTATAATGCATACATCAGTACAATTCTATAATGACATTAATGCCAAAGCTTAGCCTATTCAATTTCCAAAGTTCAGAAACAAACAAATGATATGAATTTTTGGTATATGAAACAATGTATAGTTCAACAAAAGATGTTTTTTTTCTAACCTCTATACTTATGTGGCTATGTGCATATCAAATATCAAAGAGAGGAGTCCTTTTTATCACATTATAGATTCATCACTGTATGACACACATCGTTGTTAGGGTGGTTGTCCTAATTTTCTTACCGTATTTGGTTTTCCTATCCGTTGAAGGAAAGGGTAACATATTTACTATAATTAAGCTTTCTTTTTCGTAAAAAGAAATTATAAATCTCTCATATTTGGCTAGTGCCTTTCTTGGAGGAAAAGGTTTAGACTTCTATAAATTGAGGATTCTTCATTCTCATTTAGTAGCGTCCACGATGTAACCATAAGGGGTTTGAGAGTCTTGTTTAGGGGGAAAACTTTTCAGGACAAGTGTTAGTGTATGTGTTGCTTGTGTATGCCTTTTTGTAAGGTTGTTCTCTCGATATTTTTGTACTCTATTTTATATAGTGGATTGCTCATCTACGCTGTGGATTATAGGTCAATTGACCGACCCACGTTAAATATTTGTGTCTCTTTTGGTATATTTCTCTTTTGTTGTCTGATTTATTATTGTTCAAGGTTTGCTTTACTAGCTTCCGTCTGACACCTGATTATTTCGATCCTAACAATCTGTAACAACATGCACTTGCATCAAAATTGTATTGAATGTCCAACTCACATATAGTTTTTGAGGAGGCTCGATTTTATGTGCCCTTCTGTGCCTAACCACTTTTTGGATCTTAATGTATAAGGTAGAGGTCAATGCTAAACCTTTGCCACCGGAAGGTGGTTTTAGTTAAAATAAATAAAAATAAAAGGACCAAAGACTAGTTTGGAAAAAAGAATGAACATTCTGTCCCCTTTATATGGCTAAGTTAGATAGCATCATCATAGGTAGAGTCTACTATATCTGAATTTATCTTAAAAAATTTGAATCATGTCCAATTTGAGACATCTAGGGATAAGAGGTAGGACTGCACAGAAATCAAATATTGGATGCTTGCAGGTAATATATATGTATATTTGGCCAAACATTATCAGCAGACTTCAAAGTAATAAAAGGAAAACATCGGACACTGGAATATATTCAAGAGGGTTGAAATGATACATCTCTTATCACAGACAAGAATGCATATTCAACATGGTTAATTTCGGGGCACAACTTGATTTTTAGTCCGTTGTCTTGGTTCGATTGGACCCCAGTATTTGCTCAAATTTTATTTGGTAATGGTGTTCGAGCCTTAGCGTAACTGGTAAAGTTACTTCCATGTGACCAGGAGGCCACTGGTTCGAGCCTTGGAAACAACCTCTTACAGAAATGCAGGGTAAGACTACGTACAATAGACTCTTATGGCAGTGGCAGAGCCACATTCAACCAAGCAGGTGTACCGACACCCTTTCGCCGAAAAATTATACTGTATTGCTAGATAAAATTTTTTTGCATTATGCATATGTTGACTCCCCTTAGCTTTTCGGTGTACTAATTTTTTATATTTTGACACCCTTCGGTGAAAATTTCGGTTCCGTCACTGCCTTATGGTCCGGCCCTTCTCTGGACTACGCGCATAGCGGGAGCTTAACGCACCAGACTCTTTTTTTAATGGTTCGCCTCTGCTCGAATGACTTTGTAAAAAAGTGAATAGACTACGGAGAGAAAAATGAAATATATTAATATAGGATGCAAATGAAAAGTAAGACATTTATTAGAGATGAAAAATACAAAGAACTCTATAATTGTAGGAGTAGGATCGCATCACTACGAAATGAAGCCGCGGAGAGTATCCGCCGACGGAAGAAAACAACTCTTGAAGCAAAACCCAAGATGACATTTGCACTCTGAAATATACAGTGCTACTAACAATGTTTGAAAGCATAAAATTTGGACCACTTTCACTTGATGCATGCTATTTCGTCCTACACGCTCCAAAGAATTTGGACCACTTTGACTTGATGCATGCCATTTCTTTGATTTAACAGAGAAGGGTCAAATATACCCCTATACTATGAGAAAAAGTTGAAATATACTCCTCGTTATACTTTCGGTTCATATATATCCCTGCCGTATTATTATTGGTTTAAATATACCTTTCTTCGGTTAAGTTTTTCCAAGGTGGACATTCAATCCTACGTGGCACTAACATTTGATGAGGTGGATGCCACGTGGCATGCCACGTCAGCTCCCCTAACCCATTCCCTCCCTTCTATTTTTTTTTATCACTAAACTTTCCTTCCCCTCGAAGAAAGTTTTAGTGGTGGAAAAACAAATATAGGGGAGGGATAAAATGAGTTAGGGGCGCTGAGGTGGCATGCCACGTGGCATTCACTTCATAATGTTAGTGCCACATAGGATTGGATGTTCACATTGGACAAACTTAATGGAAGAGGAGTATATTTGAACCAATAGTATTACAATAGAGATATATTTGGACCGAAAGTATAACGAGGGGTATATTTAAACCTTTTCTCATAACACAAAGGTATATCTGGCCTTTTTCCATTGATTTAATGAAGTAACAAAATACTCTCTGTTCTAACTTAACCCTCCTCTTTTCTATTTTGGCTTCTATATAGAAGGAAAATAAAAGGAAATTTTCGACATTTTCTTCTTTACTTTGCGGTCTTCGAAAAGTAAACTTTCTCTCGGCTTTCGAATTTTTAAAAATATACGATAAAAAAATCAAGTCTTAATTACCTTTATACATATATTCGACAAACATAGGAAAGTTGAATTATAAAAGAGGAACTGATCGCTATTTTGGGTTTGTTTTGGTTTGGGGGAGGGGGGGAGGAGGTGTTATCAGCAGATTGAAAACGACAAATTTCAAAGGAAGAAGCCTTAGACGACATGCGCACGGAGAAGGATTAGAATCAGTGTTTAAAACGGGGCGTGAAGGGGCGTTTTACTTAACGTGGGGTGAGCCGTATACCCCGAGACATGATAGATTATTGAATTTTAATTTATAAATTAATAAAATAGCATATTAATCACAAAAATATATAAAGCACATTAAAAGTTTAATAAAATTAAAGAATTAAGAAAAACATATAACAATAGAATATCTGATCACGCCCAACTATGCCTTACAAAAAGGACTAATTAAGCGGTCGTTGCAAATATATTCCGGTTAATAAGTCCGGAGTAGAATCCCACAGGGAATTAACCTATTAAACAAAGCTATTAGACTCGCACAAATTCACATAATCAATCTTCAACAATATTTAAGTAACAAATTGGATGTTTACTAACTAAATATCACGTAATGTCATGCAATAATTAATAACTAACTACAAACGGGTTGTAGACAAGAATTAGAATGATCTAAAGTTATGATTTCCCTATTTTCGGAATCCTTTCCGCTACGTTTTCTATTAATTTGCCTAAGTCTTCTCTACCGATCATGAGCGCTCTGAGTGTCCTAATTCTCTCCCGAGTAACTACCACAATTTACTAGACATATTCTCCCGAATTACGCTAGCTGGCTTTAAGTACGGCTCACTCGGATCGCACCAAGGTTTCGTTATTCCTAATCCCACCTATAAACCCTCCGTATGTTGTTCAACAACTACCTAAATATGCACTCTCTTCCGAGTAATACACACTAAATAGGCACAGTCGATTGAGAGCTCTTCAACCAACCATAATAATAACGTAGTTGAACAAATAGAGAAAATACTACGGCAAATCTATATTAACGTAACATGAAAATCATCTCCAATAGGTTCCATCAAAACCCTAGATTAGGAGTTTAGCCACTCATACTCATAGAAACAATATCCCAAATATTTTTCATAATTAAATTACAAAGTAAAGATGAAGGAATGAACAACTCGATGATTCTCTCCTCCAAAAATTGTTCCAAACGTCTTCTTCCTACCAAAATAGTTTCCCTAGGTCTAAGATGTGTCAAAAGTCCTAAAAATAGCGATTTTACTTGTATTTATACCAAGTAGGGTCGGGCCCAGACGGACACCTTTTCCTGCGCGAAATAGGACTCTGGCTCTATGAAATTTGCACAGGCGAGCCGCGCCCCGCGCCGCACCAT